AATGCTACACACATTTCCCTTCATTAGAGAAAGTCAGGATTCACCTGGGAGCAATTTACCAATTCAGGACAGATTTAGACAAAAAGTCTCATGGAAATGTAGAAATATGCTCGACATATTATGACAACTTGTTCAACCATTTTGCATGTAAAGACTTATGTGATGAGCTAATGCCTAAATGTTGTGGGGGGTGGGACTACTCAACAGTGACCCATTATGATATATTTTGATCAACATGACATGAGCAATTGATAATGCAGGAAACAGCAGAGAACTGCACTTAATCATTTGCATGGATGGATGTACAAAAGCTTTCGGAACTTGTTCAAAGAAGTGAGACACTGCTTTTGTGATGTGCACAAGTGACACAATGGTGTGAAGATTGAACAAGTAGTTTAGAGAATTTCAATTCTGATCTGAGTAATGTACCAAAGCAACTGAGAAAACTGCTACAAAGTTAGTTGATTTATTTATCCAGCGAGGTTACACAGCAATAGCCGGAATGCATTTTGCAGCATGCAAGTAATAAGCAGTCGAGCCCACAGTGTAAAAGTGACATACAATACCTGCCTGCAACTTTAAAAAGAAAAGCTGCACTGCCATCACCTGCTCCAAATGTGACAACTGTGGACAAAAGAATCACTTACAGCAGGCTGACATTAGGTGGTTGGCTTAAAGTGAAACTATGGCTGAGAAACAGCAGAACACAAACTGTTCTTCCTGGATATGCACAGTTTTCTTTTTTTGGTTGGAGTGGTAAGCAATATCCAGCTCTACCCCTCCTTTTTACATTTTACTCATTCTTCTTACAAGTCCTCTTCATTATGTCCACACTGAATTAATGCTGAACGCTCCCACTCAGCTATTTAAAAAGTGCCGTCCCCTCTGAAATGCCACCGCTCTGACGTTATAATGAAGCACCCCCACTCTGTACGCACCCTGCAGTCAATTATTCATGCTCTCAGGTTATTAAACACTATAACACATTAAGACTGTGACAGTGCGGCTTTTAACAAAGATGAACTTTCAGTGCTGAAATAAAGAGGTAGCATGGGGCCATGAGCTGAAATGGTCAAAGTTTCAATCCTGGAACAGACAAAAAAAAGTTTGATCAACCAATTTAAAGCTGTTTATTTTTTTTTTTTTTTTACTTTCAGCAATGCTCTTGGACAAAAGAATAAATAAAAAATTGAATGTAATATCTGGAAATCTGGAGAAAAATGAATCATTTAATCACATTGTGTAGTGTAGTACTGTGATCTGGCCAGCAGGTGTCAGCATGTGTCTCTTCTGCTTTTCTGTTTGCTCCTGCAGCTTAGTCCACTGTGAGAAAACGTTCGCTAAATTAGTTGCTCAACTCCTCGAAATCCAAAAACCATTTGATCACAATCACTTAATTCTACAAATCTTATTTAAAAATGAGCCAAAAATAAACAATTCGCACCAGATCTGGTGAAAAATAAAAAAAATTCAGAGACTTACTTGCTGAACTGCATAATGTTTACTTAGAGATGAGACAAATATGACAACGAATTCAAAATGTTAGCATGTTAAGCCACACTTTTTTTTCTCCAGTGTTGGTAACACTGTAGGTTTCAAAGAAATTCAACGTTATTATTGTTATGTATTTTTTTTAAAGTTTATGTGAATATAACGGTGTCACACTGCACAGAAAACATTTTGGAATGATATATACTTCTAGTCATGGCTGTACTGTTTCTATAGAGGTGCAGGACTTTATAGTTCAGTGGAAAATTACTCCATATTGCGTTAAAATGTGGCGGCAAAAAAAAAAAAAAAAAGGCCAGAAGTTGCTCGGAGTTCAGAGGATTAATAAAATGCAAAGACACTGCAATGTAGTGAAAAATCAGTTTAATTGTTCTGATTTTATTGTGTTACTCTGTTTTTTCTTATATTTTCTTTTGTGTTGTTTTAAACAATTTGTGTAACTCTGGTAACATATAAGATAAAATTACAGTGTGCCACTCTCTTTGTTGTTCAGATGGTGGTGACTAAGATTGACAAATGTGGACAAGGAACGCTGCTGGCGAACTTGCTCAGTCTGCAGGATGTGGTTAAAACCCAGACCACAAGCTGCTTCCCTCAGCCGTTTCTGATCAGGTGACAGTCTCACTTCTTCTTAAAGGAAAATACCAGGGATATGCTTGTGATTGTCAGAAGTCCCAGCCGACAATTACTGTGTCCTCTCCTACAGGTCCGCTCCTTTCTGCACAGCTCCATTGTTGTCCCAAAACTTTTTTTAAAAACACACACTGTAGTTTAGTTTCAGTCAGTCCCTCAAACACGTCCTGCTGTTGTAAATAGTCAGTGTAGTCCCTCATGTTGATACTTTCAATTGTTTAATGGGATTTTTTGATATAAAAAATCTTAACACAAGCCTTAAATTTTTATTAGCAACACGATCTCCTCTACTTGGTGAGACGGTGAATTTCCACAGCATCAACAACTCTGTCTCTGAGTCTTAATTTTTTACAAAAACATTATTTTCTGTACCATTGATCAGGAATTGAAGTGAGCAATTTTGTTTGATTAGCACAAGTGAAAATAACTAGAAACAAAATCCCATTAGACTTTAGAGGCAGAGAGTGCATCAGCTCGACCACAGCATTACTCAGTCACACAACTCTTCAGAAATACGAGTGTCACAAAATGTGGAACAGTAAAAAAAAAAGTCAAAGACGTTAAAGTGCAGTCCTCCATTTGTTGTTACTGCATTTGGCAATTTGTTTGGATGCTGCCTACATTGTTGTGTTTTTCCTCAACGCAGGAAGTTGACATATACTTCACAGTTAGATTTTATTTTTCTTTCTTTATCTTGTTTGCAACAGCTCTCTACATTTTGAGGGGATCTACTTCCTGAGATGCTTTATTGCCCATGTAACAGGGAGAATAAGAGTCAAGGACACCTGTCAAAGCTGATGAGAAACCAGCTCGAGTGGAAATGGGACTTGGCAGAGGTTTGTCTTTTGTCACCTTGTATTGAACGTTTCTTCAAAAACAGATTGTAGCACTATACATCTGGACAACTACTCCAGAGCCTTATATTTTCTAATAAAATGTAAAACACTTCTTTGATGGTTTGATGGATTTTCCTTTTAGTGTAGTTGCAATTGATATTACTCTTTTGCCCTTATTATGCTAAATGTCCAATAGGCTGTGGACACTGGAAAACCTGAAGCCCTCTCCCTCACAGTCATAAACTGATGATATCTCTTTAATGTGTGACTTATTAAAACCTAAGTGAAATCTTTTTAATACTTACAATGATTTGAATATTTCCCTAATATCTGCCATTGTGAGCAAGATCCACAACTGTCCACTGTAGTGGATACTAACAGGTCAAAATGCACATCAGTAAAAATATTACAGGTGAAAAGGGTACACATTTTAACTAATAGGCATCATAACACTTACAGTCGTCCTCAAATGTATTCATACCCTCCCATTAAAGAAGGAAAAAGACAGCTGTCCCTGAAATAAGTTGAAATTGACAAAAGTAATAATAAATACACATTGTAATGAAAATCATGACATTGCTAATGAATTGCGGTTCAACAGAAATATTTTTTTTAAAAACAAACAAAACAAAAAAAACACAAGCAAACAAGCATGATGGGACCCGTACACTAATATTTTTTTGAGCAACCCTTTGAGCCAATCACTGCAATCAAGTGTTTTCTGTAACTCTCAATCAGACTTCTGCTCCTGTTGACAAGTGTTTTGATTTTGGCCCACTGCTCATCAGCAAAGTGCTCTAATTTGTCTGGGACAGATTTTTTATTTATTTTTTTATTCTTTTCAACCACAATTTAAAAGCAATGTCTTATTTCACTAAAATGTAATTCAGCAGATTTTTATTTATTATTACTTTTTTCAGTTTCTAGTTATTTGAGTGACTGTTGTGAATTTTGCCTTTTCTTTAATGGAAGAGTATGAATACATTTGAGGACGACTGTAGGCAACCGATTACTTCCATTAAAAAATTCTTTTTTTTTTTTGCATTACAGGCGCTCAGAAATGTTATGTTTAAACAATGTAAATGTGTGTATTATGTCATTAGAAAAGGGGACATTCTACATCAAGTTTCAGAGCAGAAATCTAACTAGTAATTAAAGTCAAAAATGTATGTTTCATTTTGGTGACATGTTGGAGTCAAATGTTTTCATAAAGGGCAAATTTTGGATATCTCTTTTCATCACTCCAAAAACTGGAAAATACTGTCAGTAGTCAGAGAAAAATTACTTTTTGCCATGTGTTTTGGGGGGAAAATGTTCTATAAATAGAGCTGTGAGTGATGAGCCCTTCTGTAAAAAATAGTCTGAATATGGTTTAGTGTATCTAGGTGCTGCTGAAGTACCGAATTCTGGCTTAGAGTATTAGGAAAAAAAACTAATTTCATAAATTTCCACCCATTTTTATTCAAAACTACAATTTAAGGAATAATCTCAACAGATAACACCATAAAACCAGTTTGTTGCTTACATTTGTGTATTGTGCACTGTGCAGAATAGACTAAATGTGATAAAATGGATACCTAGATGTGTGTTTTGTTTTCACCTGTTGGTAGAAGACATGGGAGCAAAATAGCCCAAAATCTCAAAATTGACTAGTACATGGAAAAAATTATGTTTTTGCCTTCTAGATTTATGATTTAAAAAAATAATAAATCAGGGTAACAATCATTAATCATTAAACAATGATTATGTAGCAGTAGGGAAGAGGTCTGCCACGTTGTTCCCTGCAGGTTTGGATTAATTGTTTTGAATATTGTGGTTTTAGTTGAAGTTTGTGGGGGACGCCATACGGGAAATATTGTTACCTTGTAGTAACACTTAACAACTGTACGCTCCACGAAGTAAATAGCTTCTGAAAAGCAGGGGAAAGCTATAAATAGATACCACAGTGCTTCCAGCTTGTAGTTTTCACTGTCTGAGAGGTCACTAAGAAGCAGTCAGGAGGAACCGTGGAAGTCATTACGAGATGTACAAGAGCAAGAAAAAGTTTCAGATAAAACTGTGGGTCTGCAGGGCAGAAGGGAAAAGTAAAACGTCCATATGGAGGAGCTGCAGCTAGCACAGGAGTGCTGCTGCATCGTCCCAGCATGTAACATTGATTTACAGGTGGAAGACTTAACAGAAGGAAGCTTTACCTGTGACACAAAAATCAATGCTCAAAGTCTGCAGAGAAACATGCAGCTAAATCAGATTGGTTCTGGATACTAAAGAGCAGTGGGGAAATGAAGCTAAAATGGAGTTTTTGGGCCAGAAACACCAATGGTATGATTAGAGGGGGGAAAAGGAGCAGTATCTGAGGAAAAGCACACGTTGCAAGTCTGTGTGTATGTGAATGTGAAAAGTGTCAACTACAACAATCCAACTCAGACTTCAAAATCCACCATGAACTACTTCTGGAAACACGTGCTGCTTTTATCAGCCCCTGACTGCCACAACACGTGTGATCTTTGTGCAAGGAAGCCTAAAAATATTTCAACTAGACATGATCAGCAAGAAAAGGTGAATTAAAGTTTCTAAATCAAGAATAAAAATGGTTGTTAACTGTGATGTGAAGTGCTGACTCAGTACCTTAACTTTTACAAGTCTTTTTTTTTTCTGTTTTCTTTTTTTTAATGAATTAAAAAAAAAAAAAAAACTCTTATTATTATTTAATATCCCTTTTCTGCTTTTTGTCCTTTCACTTTAGAAATGACCATAACACCTGATGAGTGCTGTGACTGGTATTTCTTTGTCTGTTGATTGACTTTTGCCCTGTACACCGTTGGGCATGCTTTAAAAAGTCACTTACTGTCACTGTGCCGAAGTGTAACAGCCCCGGCTGCCTCACGGACTACACTGACAGCGATGAAGTGCTTCAAGAAGTTGGTCGGAAGCAACATCTGCTCGTCTCTAAACCCTCTGCACACCACTGAACACCCTGGTAGCAGATGTGGGCACTGTGCTGTTCATAAATGGCAGCTCAGCAGAATTGTCAGAGTTGAAGAGTAACTAAGCAGATACGGTTGGTTTTTATTTCTAGATTTCTGCAAGTGCTGAGGTGTGCAGAAGTGTTCTGTTTTTCCTACATAAGCACTGCTTTCTTAAGAATCCTTGTTAAAGTTTTAACTGCACGTGTCACGACCAAAATATTACTTGAAGTGTTGCCAAATTTCCCATTGCAAACCTGTACCCTACTATTTATGTTTTGTTTTTTTCTCATTCACTCAATGTTGTCATAGGGAGAGAAGTTAAGAGATGATGGGGAAACTGACCTCAGTGAAAATTTAGGTACTGACTGCTAGGAGGCATTAAATTAAATTCATGCCCGTATCATACCCTGATGCAGCTAAAGATTGCCCCAAGAGCTCAACTAAACCAATGCAATACTCACTGACATACAGTACATCTCAATGCACAGCCCTCTTGCCCTTCATATAAAGGCAAATTTACAGATCCCATATGTATGTGTTGGTCACATCCAAAACTACAAGTTTATACTAAAACCTTTTCAACAACCTCTCCCGTTGTTTTGTTGGGAATTTTTAGAGTTGTGTCAAAGTCATGTCTCATTTAAAGGAATTTAAAGGAGCAAAGTGGAGATGTGATAGCCTTCACATTCATAATGATTAAGTGGCGGTCTCCACCGAGCTTCACAAGATGTACATTAGACAATTTTTTATACTAAAATTGAAGAAAAAAAAAAAAGTTAAACACACTTTGGAACCATACAACAATACATAAGGATCTTGATGATCCTTGAGGAGGCCAAGAGGACCAATTCAAACAGCCTCTGACTGACTTTTCTTTCTTTCTTTCTTACCTGTTTTCTGTTTCTATGTTTTGAATCAAAATAAAAGTATGTATGTGATAATATAAATAATATCTGCTGTTCTATATGCATAGTTGAGAAAGCTTTTCCTCTTTTAATATGTAGCGACTGGATACAACCAGATTGAGAATCATCAAGGGGAGAGCTGATGAGGGTTTGCAGGAAGGAAAGGAAATCACTTAATATCTAAAATGGACAGAATATAGTGGTATGACTAAAAATTCTGTGGATCCATATAGAGTAGAATAGAATGCTTTTATTGTCATCATACACAAAGTACAACAAAAGTAAAAGACAGCTCCAGTAGTGCAAAAAGTATAAAAAAGACAAACAAGATATTTGATGATGTTTGAAGATGCTTTGCAATGCAAAAAAAAAAAAAACTCGCAAAAAACCGAAACAATAAAGAACTTGTTAAAGAAGGTGTTGTCGTAGGGAGTTGGTCGGAGCGTGTGTGAGGATACAAAGGTTGAGTCTTTGATGCTGGAAACCCGAGTACGCTGCACCCTGCGTGTGCTCACATATAAGCCACATAAACACTTTATGTTAGTACTCCTAGTAAGTGATTATACAACACTATAAAATAATAAGTCATTAAGATAAATCACAACATAACAATGAAGTACATCTCAGCATAGGACAATATATGAACCCTGTGAAGGGGCAAATCGTAGACATCTGTTTTGTCAATCTGTGTAAAAGTTTATCTGTGAGCTGATTTAATCCTGTTTGCACTTCAAATGCAGCTGTAACTTGTTTGCACTAATTGCTTGATCCAGGTTTGCTTTATGCTGAGGGGCACAAGTATGCTAGCCACACCAGTGGTACAAGTCAGCCAGTCTTCATTTAAAACACAAGTGATTTTTCCTGCCTTTAAAAAAATAAAAGTCTATGTCATCAGCAAACAGTTTTCAGTCCCTTACCCAATTTGTTTGAAACATTTCACTAATCTTTATAATTACAAAACAATAATGACCCAGGGACAAGCAAAAAGATTCATGTGGATGTTAGTCTGAGCAGTACCAAACCGGAACATTTTTCCAGATGAAGACACCAGAAACCACAGGACGCCACCAGCATCTACGTTGTACCTATGTATGTATGTATGGATGAATCTATGTAGTACAGAAATAGATGGATGGATTGATAGACAGACAGACGTGACTCAGTAAATATTTTCAGTTCTGGATATAACTGTAATCACTCTAAGAATAGAAACGACAAAATGTGTTTTTTTTAGGGTTTCCATTTTTGAATGTATTTTAGCATAAACAGTCTGTGCCTTCTGATTCCGTTCGGCTTTACATGTGGTAATAAGGTCAAAAAAGTTCAAAGTAGTATGATAGTTTAAAACCCAAAAAGGAAATATGTTAAAGAAGCAGGTATTTCGAACTGAGCCAGACATTTCCAGAATCAAAATGTTATAATCTGGGTTATATGTGATAAAAATGGAGATAAGTAAACTGGTCTTTTACAAAATTGGAAATACAACACTTTTTAGGATATGATTGGAATATGAATGCAGGTTGAACATTAAAAATGCATCACAGATCAGCAAACATGCTGCCATAAACCTTTTATATAAGCTTCTCCACAAGAGGTCAAGGACGCCTGCTGAAAAACTCATTGTTTTGTCCTTCATTTTTTTCTCTCCCAGTCTTCTTGTTACATAAATAAAAAGCTGGCCTGAGAAACATTTCCTAAAACTGTCTTATCTTCATTTCCCTATTTTACAGTGTAGCGGTAACACTATGTGAGATGTGAACCTACCAGATTAGATTGTTATCTGGAATCAGATCATTGACGATAACGGCCATGACACGACACAAACCCTGACGTGCTCATTTACACACCAGGAGCAAAAAGATACTTAAACTTTACTGCGACCTGAATGAAGGACAAGTCGGAGGGAGACAAAACGATAAAAGCTGATGGGACAGATAAAGACTGATAAGCCTACCTCTGAAGAACTACGTTGTGTCTCATATCCCCTTCCTCATGCCACAGGACTGAATTACACACAGTGAAAGAGCAATACACCGCACACACCTTTACATTTTATGACACGTTAACAGTCACATGTAGCCTTTAGCGTGTGTGTCATTTGAAATTGAAATGTAAAAAATGTCACCTCTCTGTCAACTCTCACCTGGAAATATCACAGAATAGTTAGTGGTAGCAAAGATGAAGAAGGATTCAAATGTGTGAACTAAGATAACTTAGTATATAGTATAAACCGTTTTAATTTGGTCACTTTAGATGGTTTTTGATCATGAACTGCCTATTTAAGTTTTATTTCAGTTGGATTCCAGTCTGGGCTTTGACTCGGCCACTCCAAAACCTTAATTTTGGGGTTTCTTTATTGAGCCTTTCAGAGGTGGACTTGCTTGTGTGCTTTGGGTCATTGTCCTGCTGCATATCCCATTTGCACTTGAGCAAATGAACTGGTCATGAACTGATGAGCAGATATTCTCCAGGAGGATTTTCTGATAGAGAACAGAATTCATGGCTCCAAGTCATGCAGGTCCCTTTAGAAGCAACGCAGCTCCAAACCATCCACTATCATCACCACGTTTCACTGCTGGTATCATGCTCTTCTTATGGAATGATGGAATGGACTGTTAGCTTTACGCCAGATGTAGTGGGACCCATGTCTTTAAAAAGAGTTCCACCTTTAACTCATCAGTCCACAGGGTGTTATCCCAAAAATCTTGGGGCTCATCCAGATATTTTTTTTTTTACAAATGCCAGACAAGCCTTTCTGTTCTCTCTGATCAGGAGTGGTTTGTGCCTTGCAGCTCTCCCATTGATGCCATTTTTGCCCAGTCTCTTCCTTAATGTGGAATCATGAACACTGACCTTAACTGAGGCCATGGAGGTCTGCACTTCATTTAATGTCCATCGTGGTTCTTTTGGGACCTCCTGGATGAAATGTTGATACTCTCTTGGAGAAATGTTGGTCAGCCGGACGCTCTTGAGAAGGTTCACCACTGTTCCATGTTTCTCCATTTGTAGGTAATGTCTCTCACTGTGGTTCTCTGGAGTCCCAGAGCCTCAGCAATGGCTTTGTAACACATTCCAGACTGATAAATGTGAAGGACTTTGTGTTGCATCTGTTCTTGAATCTCTTTAGGTCATGGCATCATGGGCTACTTTTTGAGGCCCTTTAGGTTACTTCACAATGTCAGACAGGTTCTATTTAAGTGATGTTCAGATTCAACAAGCCTGGCAGTGATCATATGTGGGTGAGGCTGGTGAAGTTGAACCCAACTGACAATTAATTTGGTCATTTGGTAGATTCGTAGCTGTGCAGGCAATTACTTTTTCACATAGAGCAGGTGGAACTAGACAGCATTTTTCCTTTAATAATGAAATCATCATTTAAAAACTGCATTTTGTGTTTTCTTGGGTTATCTTTGTCTTATATTAAAACTAGTTTGATTATCTACAACAAGTAAGTGTGACTAATGTGCAAAAATAGAAGATATCTGTGGGAGGCAAAAACTTTTTCACAGCCCTGTATCATTGCAGTCCTGAATTATTAGTGACTCCTACACCTTTGAATTTTCCATTATGGATTGTTGAAGCAGATTGAATTTTGTGACTAACTATCATGCATGGTGGTTCTTTTATAAATTCACGTAGGAATTCTGGCTGGTTCAAAAATATCCATATAGCAACTTGAATTATCAGTTTTAGTGATGCAGTAAGTTGTATTAATCAAGCTCTTAACTTCCCGTGAGTGGTCGCGATTGACTACAGATGCTGACTCCTCTGAGCCAATTTAAATAGGACCCATTGGGTACACTCGTTAGCCACAAGCGCGACTGTGGGAAAGGCTAAGGAGACAAAGAAGAGACCTTCTGGAGGAAAGTTCTGTCATCCCATCGAACAAAAATGTGTCTATTTGGTTACATTGACCAGAAATATGTTTGGAGAAAACAAGTCTTTTTCTGAACTACAACATTTAGCTGACCTTTCCTGAAGCTTGTGGGCAGCTACCAAAATTGCCTAAAGCAGCGGCCCCCAACCACCGGGCCGCGGACCGGTACTGGGCCATGGGTCATTTGGTACCGGGCCGCACAGAAAGAAAAAAAAAGTTTTATTGTTTTAATTTTATGTCCAGCGCAGTCTACAGGGTGGTTTTTTTTTTTTTTTTAAGTGCTAGCTCGTCTTCCCGTCACTTCCGTCTGTGCATGTTTTCCGCACTTGACTGTCAGTTTTCATGCTCGCTGTTAAACGAAGCCGTCAGTCTAATCGCTGCCGAAATGTCTAAAAAAACAAACGTCTCCAGAAAGCTTCTTTGGAAAGTGGGAGAAACTCAATGCTGAGACAGAAGAAAAAGTAAACACATATTTAACAAGTAATTTTATTCATTTGTGAAACTTTTGATAGAAAAAATTGGGTTTTTGTTATGTGTGTAATGACCAGTCTGTAGAAAAATTTCTTGCGTAAAATCGGTCCGTGGTGCAAAAAAAGGTTGGGGACCGCTGGCCTAAAGGACATTTAACCAAACATAAGTCATTGCTGTATGTATATTTTTGACCCAGTAGATTGTGACATATTTACAATATACCTATAATATAACTATGAAAGAACCAAAATGTATGATTATTGTTTGTGACAAAGATGATTGTGTTTCAATAATTCCATCTTAGAAAATTGGAACTTAAGACTGGGTCTTTTTATGTATATCCTAACAGAAAAAAAGACAAAGTTATTGGCAACCAAACAGCTGAAGAATATTGAGGCCTTTTCTTGAGTGAATCACNTGGGTCTTTTTATGTATATCCTAACAGAAAAAAAGACAAAGTTATTGGCAACCAAACAGCTGAAGAATATTGAGGCCTTTTCTTGAGTGAATCACTTTACAGCCATCAAAGGCAGCAGGTATGTGTTCAATCTGCACAGCCTAACTGGGAGGATGCTGCAGGCTGTCAAGCCACAATTTTTCATAGACATGCTGTATACCAATCAACTGCACATGAAAAGTTACATAATAAAATTTGTCTCTCCAACAATAACTCCTTCAGGATTGTCTGTTGTTGCCTCGTGTCAGTCCAAAACACTGGGTAGCCAACGCAACGGCTGCATGAATCATCTTCTTTTTAATGAGCTTGGCCAAAGGGCCACCTGGAGATGGGCTAGGGTTAGATATTGTGATGGCAAACAAACCATGGTGAAGATCTGCTAACTGTAGGGTCTTCAGCATCCAAAACATGCAACTTCAAACAGAGACATCATCTTCTTTTGGCAGTAAATCTAGGTAGCTGTCTTTATATTTATAATTCTAATTCTTTAAACTTTAAGAGAATACCATCATAACTGTCACAACCTCTTCTCTAAACCTCTGTGCTGCAGGGTTTTATGAAAATAGAGCCCTAAATGTATATATTTTGATGGTTTGAGTGTCTAAGTTGACACCTCATATAGCCCTAATCAGCTCTGACGGTGTTCGTGCTTCAGTAAATTTAAACACCTCTGTTGTTCTGACTAATTTGAAGGCAACCGCTCTGAATGAATCAGTCTAAAGATGAAACAGTCTGAAACGCAGGAACACATGGTTGCATGTAAACTCCAAGGGCCTCATTTATCATCTGTGCGTATAAAAACGTTTGAAATTCTGTCTTACGAATGAAATTTAGAATGTGCATAAGCACAAAAAAAATCAGTATTTAACAAACATGCGTTCATGGGTCGTACGCACATCAGGAAGTCATCAGTGTTGGTAAATCCCACTTGTTTTTAACCACTGTGCTCGTGCACTATCTGGATCATTTGCTGTCAGAAACGCCTTACAAATGTGCATCGCAAATTATTTGAATGTTGATTGAACAAAACCCTTTTCTATTAACATAATTAAATTCATTTAGTGATGCTGCTTTGATCGAAATGTGGATGCAGTCTGTGGCTCCACTTATGTCTGGGAGTCCAGCGATGGCGTGAAGTCCCTGTTTGATTTGGGCTTGTTGGTGATGGCTGTAAGGGAACTGGATGTAGGCTGGGGCCAGGGGGGTTATGGCATCCAACACTGCTGGCATGATCCTGCTTAGTGGTGGCTGGAAATGCTGCATATGTCTCCAATCTCACGCTGGAATGTGTCGCTGGTCAAAATCCCTGAATGCTCTCTATTTGTAGATTCACTATTCTACCTCTACCTTATGTGCTTGACCATGGTCAGAGGTGTGCTTATATTTACGCACATTCCTAAGTATAAGTACAAGTTGATAAATTCCATACTTTGTGAAGGAATGTTCGTACGCGCTCACTAAGCACACGTTTGTGCGTACGTACTGATAATAAATGAGGCCTCAGGAGAGCTGTGGCTTGGCAACAGTCTGAAGCGATCAACTGGAGAGCAGCCTCAGGCCACAGATGCTAAAGGAACTAAATGCACACTCATTCGGGTAAAAAGCTATTTTTAGATAGAAGCTGCTATCCCAACTGTATTCAATATGTAGTTTTCATTTTCAACGCTTCATAATTATCTAGCATTTTACAGTACGACTGATTTAAGTTTAACATGTAAACAGCTTCCACTCATCACTACAGATGAAAAATCTGGTGATTTCTTATATTAAAATGTTGGTTTGAATGTAAAGTATAAAGGGACAGTCTAAGAATCTCTTTAAAGACAAATTGGGAAGTATTAGTTATCAGTTCCTACATTGGTCTGATTAAAATGTGTATGTCAAAACATACAAAAGGCAGGCTGTGTGTAACTCCACTGAAGAGCAATAAACAAACCACAGCTGAATCAAGTTAAATCCAGTCTATTATTGTACCGCTGTGCTTGTGTCTTTTTCTAATTCTTGTAATTAATTATTCTGACACAGCTTTATTTTATAGTGTATCTGCTGCTACATAGTAACTTAAGACACTTCTTTTGTTTTCTTTTTAAGTAACACACTGTTCAGTTAGTTATCCTTTAACTTCAAAATTATACATTAGCCTGTACAGGCAGGCAGACCAAAAATACCAATAATATCTTTTCACTTTGGCTGGACCCAAAATGGTAAGAACATCCCAGTCTTTTTTTTTTCTGTTGGAGTAGGACTTTGTAGCAGAAAAACCTGACTTATTAGGAAAGTTATAAATGTGACTATAGGATTTTTTTCTTGACCAACAGACTACAAAATGTTGTACTTATTTGTAGCTCTTGTGCTCTGCTCAACTTTGGTACATCAAACGAAAAGACAATGAGACTCAGCTCTGAATTATTATGATAATGATATGATAAAATAAAACTTTTCATTCTATTCTATTCTATTCTAATGATATATTTTAAATCAACTTTTCTGTTGTGTCATGGCGTGTCATGGCATGTGCAGCATGTTTGTTTTAAAGCATCTATAAAACATACTCACTCCTTCATGGGTCTTTTTATGTTTTATTGTTTTACAACATGAGGGCGAATCTAACTCAGATTTTACGAAAGATGTCCATAAAAAAAATACAAATAGAAAACAGAAAATAATTGAATGCATACATGTTCACCACTTTTAAATCAATCAATATGTAGCAGAGGCACCTTTAACAAAATGTACAGCTGTGAGGGTGTGTGGATAGGCCTCGGTCGTTTTATACATTTGGACATTGCAGTTCTAACTAAACTAAGGTGAAGTCCGGACCAGGATTTCCCCACTCCAGGACAAAAACAGTGTTTATAAGTGAAAATAGCACATTTTAGTCAATTTTCACACAAAAAACAGTGAATAGAAAAAAGTACTTCTTCCTGTAATAATGTTTCCCCTCTTAGCCACTGAACTCTGTACTCCCGCTACATAACTGTGCACTGATTGACCCTTCTGTACTCTGAGGGACTCTCACTGCCTTAGAATTTCATGCGTATCCCCACTACAGTTCCTACTTTCCTAACCATGTGGCAAATTTTTTGAAATGTTGCTTTGCTCTACTCTATCAGAGTACTTTAAAATCATTCTTTGTGTTTTATATTTAGTTAAATACAGTTCAGTCATAGAAACTCGCTTGCCCTTCAGCATGAAAATCTTTTTTAGAGAAAAATAATAATAATCCCTAGCACAGCCACAGTGTGATTGACAAAAAAAGAAAGAAAAAAAAACAATAAAAAGAGGCCAAAGGGGGTCATTTTTATGGTGATTGTGCAAACAATGTGTACGTGGTGTTTCCTGTCTTTGCAAGCATCTTCTCATCATGTGGGAGTGAAGGCTGATGATGCTGCATAGCACAACATGTCCAATAAAGTTTTAAGAGCCACAGAGCCATAAATGTTGGAGTCATGGTGCAATCACATTTCATATTTCAGGATGATTCTCGTTTTATGTGCATGCACTTCTGAACACTGACCCCATAAAACATTAAGCATTGGTTAATTTTTGATTTTTTCATCACTTGATTTTCCCTCCCAAATCTATTTAGCTGTCTCAGTGGGAGCATAAAGAGCAGTGAGCTGGACTCTCCCTCTCACTGTCACCCTCATCCACGGATATCGGAAAGGGAGAAACTGGAGTAGTCTTGTGGAATCTATTGCAAGCTCTGTGGAAATTCTCTTCCAGCCTGTGAGCCACTCATTCTCCCCTTATTCATTAATATCATCATCCACGATGTCCATGTTGAAGACAACAGTCATTGTGCCTTCTGGCTGCGACCCTTTTGCCACAGTCTGTTCGGGCGAAGATTGCCTTGTTCCTCCGAGTAACTTCAATGCAGTACTGAGCACCGTGTTGAGCACAGTGCTCACTGTGATGCTTGCTATGGTCATGTTCTCCATGGGTTGCACAGTGGATGCCGACAAGCTGTTGGGTCACATCAAGAAACCCTGGGGCATTGTCATTGGTTTCCTCTGTCAGTTTGGTATCATGCCCTTCACAGCATTTGCCTTGTCCCTCGCCTTTGGAGTGCTGCCTGTGCAGGCTATCGTCATCATCATCATGGGGTGCTGTCCTGGAGGCACTGGTTCGAACATTATCTGCTACTGGCTCGATGGAGACATGGACCTCAGGTAAGAAACCGGATTGACTGGGTCACTGTTGCTTTCTTGTTTTTTGGTGGTCCACTGTCCAACAAGAGAAAACAAGTCCGGATGCCAGTTCAAAAGGATTTGCAGCATAGCTTTACAACACATACTGCTGTACAACACAAAAACAAACACTTTTCTAGAGCACACATAGGCTTTTCTCTCACTGTATGAGAGTGGTAAGGTTTTTTTTGTGGCATTACCAAAACTAATTTGTGCCTTTGATAATTAGAAATCACAGATAACTCCTGTAGATTTTAGAATTAAGATAGTATTTATGTCCCATCTCAGCAACTCAGACGAAATATTTGTTAAATGGCTTCCTATAAGTTCCAAATACATGAGCCGGGGTCCCATGAGCAAAATCCCCCATGGGATACAGTAGACCTAACACACATCACTTCTTTATTTCCTTTCTTTTGTAGAGGACATGTAATGTTTTTTTTTTTTTTTTTTTTAAATGTGATTGGAGAGGCTGTTTGACACAGAACACACTGACCACATTCTCTGCTCCTCAGTATCAGTATGACAGCCTGTTCTTCTATCCTGGCCTTGGGCATGATGCCTCTATGCCTGCTCATTTACACCACTACCTGGACATCCAGTGACACCATCCAGATTCCATATGACAGTATTGGTAAGTAAACATCTCACTGGAGATTAGAACATTAATTTCGGACAGATACTCTCAGGCAATTCCATTATTATATTTGAACATAGTTATGTTGCTACATGTGCCTCTTTGGAGCACCAAACTTAAAACGGTATTCATTTTGTGAATGGTTTATTTGAATAACTTCCATTGCTTTAATATGTTTCAAAATTTCTTTGTGTAATTGTCCTAAAAGCATTGCACTGGTTTAATATGAATAATTATATTGCTTAAATGGAATCTGTGTCTCCCTAGGTATCACTCTAGCAGCCCTTCTTATCCCGATTGGTTTTGGAATGTATGTGAAGCGCAGGTGGCCTCGCCAGGCAAAAAAAATCCTCAAGGTAGGAATTCTCAGCAGTGTTTTCCAAATCCAAATAAAAGGAACTGCTGTGATATTTACACTTTACATGACTTAATTAATGGAAACTCCTGCAGTGTGTTTAATAAAAGTATCTGCTGTGCACAGGTGGGGTCCATCACTGGCTTTGCTCTGATTATCATCATAGCTGTGGTTGGAGGAGTCCTCTACCAGTCCTCCTGGAACATTGCTCCCTCCTTATGGATAATTGGTACCATCTACCCCTTTATTGGATTTGGCCTGGGGTTCGTTATGGCCCGCTTTGTGGGACAACCCTGGTATAGGTAGGGTGGCAGCACTGTATGCTTGCTTATCATGATACACATCAAAGAAAAAACTGGATCTTGCAATTTTCTCTTGCTGGTTTTCGTGCTGTCGAAACCAGTTTAACTACAGATCATAGAACTGCATGAATGAATACATGGAAACAAGCACCAGTTTTACTTACTTCTGAGCTTATTTCACATTCCTTACCTCGCTCAGATGCCGGACCATTGCACTAGAGACGGGCTTCCAGAACTCCCAGCTGTGCAGCACCGTGGTTCAGCTGTCCTTCAGTCCCGAGGACCTGGAAATCATGTTTGCATTCCCCCTCATCTACAGCATCTTCCAGCTAGTCATGGCAATCGTGTTTGTGGGAGGTAAGAGTTTACCAGGCCCACTCACAGATAGTTAATGATCGCAAATTTGTCCACATTTGCTCCGTGTCATTGGACAGCTCATGACTGCAGATCCCAGCAGTCTAGATTTGCTATCCGTTTCAAATAACAGAAGCACTCACTTGTTGCTCCGCTATTATTGTGTTGGCCATTTCCAGCTGCAACACTGGTTGTGGCTAGAGGACTGCTGTTATTCTGTCTGGGTCACAGCAAAGTTCTGGCACCTTTCAAGAACATTAGTAGCATCAGATGTGGTGATCCCACTGTGATAAACCTGCCTTCTTGCCAAGCGCTGTTGTTTTGCTGCATTAGCAGAATTCCCTTTATGCTGAGTCGTGAAATTGAGCGCAGTTTTGCCATTTAATAATTACATGTATAATTCAGGTTTAACAGGTGTATAGAGGTCCAGGGCTGACGGGTCTGTGGTGACAATCAGTTTTAAAGTCCCCCACTGGTTGTTGAAGTTACATAAGTTTTCCTCATTTAAAAATTCCCTTTCTGCCTCAAAAGGATTTAGATGTAACTCAACACTGTTGCCTCCTTTAGAATATGCAGCTCTATGAAGCCCCCATCTCGCTCTTAAGCTGCTCTTCCACTGCTCACTACAACTGGAGCACCCTAGCTCACCTACAAATCTGCTTAAACACTATAAACCTACTCTACACTAACCAATGAAAACTTGTAATGTTGATGCAATTCCAATGTTATGACTCAAAGCTATTAGTCACAGGATTAGTTCCTTAGGTTTGATACCTTGGAAGTCACAATTTATGAAACTGTAATCAGTACAGGTGTTTACATAACTGCAAGAAAAAAAAAGATTCCAAGCAGCTGAGAAGGGGAGATGCTACCTGGCTGCTGTGCATTCAAGGACAATGGTCAGGGTTAATGACATTAAAATATGTGATAAGAATCTGTATACTTCACACAGTGTGAAACACCACAGCGTTAGTCGTAGGTGCTCGCTTGTGCTTGCAAGCCTGCCAGTGCTATTTCCTATAACTCCTGCTTTTTGCCTTAGCATGACTGAATGGTGCTGGATCAATTTACAACCACAGGAAAATTCCTCATGTCCCCCTTCTCAATTCAATTATTGGACATTTAGATGTGACCACAACTTAATATTATAAAAATGAGTGGCCCCCGGCCCCAATGTAACCATTGTTCAAAGAACAAGAACAGAGAAAGGGTGTATTATGTAGTCTAAAGCCTGGTTAACTTTAAACTGCTCAGTGTTTCTGACTCCATGCTTTTCCTCAACAGTCTACCAGGGATATAAAAGGTCATGCAACCACGGCTCAGCTGATGACGACCGTGAGGCTTCATCTTTGGAGGATGGTGACACTGAACCAGAAAAACGAAAGGACTTCGCTCTAGAAAATGATGCCTTTGAGTCCGATGAAAATTGCAACAGCAATGTGAAGGGCAATGAAAAGCACACCAAGCTGTGAGATTACGACAGTGCAAATAACAGACTTTGGACTATCTGAATGAACGTCAATGACCACAGCAATACTGAAGACAGCAGCCTGACTCAGCCATGAACACACAGTGCACTCTGTAGGCTGCAGCTGTGCCACACAGGTGCCATTGTACACTCACTGTTGGAAAAGGTTTTCCAAAACAAACCTTCACAAATGTATTCTCAAGTACAGCCAACAGTTAACTTCAAAAGGGCCAATGACCAACACTGTGTTATGTAAAATTGTATTATGTTTAAACATGAGGCCCTACTTTACTTTAATTTATTCTAAAATAAATATTGAAAACAACTGTACCCTGTGCTTTCTGTAAGATAGACTGTCCTGCCTTTGTCCCTTGATCAATGATTCAATGATCAATAATTCAGAGATAATGTTAAATGCTGTTTGTGTGGATTTACTATCAAACATTTGTACAACACAATAGAATATTCAGCTGAATACAATAAGTATGTGTTTGTGCAATCAATAATTTAGCTCATAAACAAATTTACAAAGTGCTGAATTATAGAATAATTAAAAATACAAGAAAATAAATCAGTGAAACAGTTAACTAAATTTTTTCAGAAAGGAATAAAGAGACAGCTTTAATCTAAGTTGTGGCAATTTCATACAAGTGAGTTTCAAGAAGTGATAGAAAAGTCCAAACCTAGCTAGTTTGCCAAAGATGCTCAAGCAGGGAGTTCCCGAACTGTGCTGCAGCAACAGCCTGGAAATAGCTGCCTGAGGATCAGTGTGTACTGTGGCTCCCAAGGGACCCAACAATCTTACAGTCTATTCTAGATGCTGTAGGAAGTCAGGAATTTTGCAAGGATGGCAGTGATGTGATATGATCCTGAATGAGCTGGAGCTGAGCAACTGACTTGGTAGTGTAAAGAGATGTGTCACATAAAGAGAATTCTACATTTCTTGCAGCTGATGTTGCACAGCTGCCAAAGCAATGAGAGAGACTTACACATTTTGTAAAGCCTCATTGTCTATACTGATATGGAAAAAGAAATCAGTGGCTATTACAGACCAGTGCTGGCATTTGGGTCCTGATACAAAATTCAGCTGTGTGTTCTGTGCTCTTCCAGTTCCTTTAAATTCTATAATCTATACCACATATATGCGAAACTAAAAAAAAAGTAAGCGCCTTTCAAAGAAAAAAAAAAATGTCAGAGCTTATCACATTTTGATACTTGAGAAATTATTTGTTTTTTCTTGTTAGTTTAAAATATGAAAAATAGGTGGTCTGTCCAAGCTGATGAAACAGGGATATACAGTTGTCCTCATATATTTATGATACATATCCACACTTCACCTAATTTATTAGCCCATTGTACTGCAACTTATATATACTGTAATTTAATAACTTAAAGACATATTAAGAAAAAAAAAAGATATTTGCAATTCTGCTAATTTACTTCAATTATTTTTTAAAGCTTTTCTTTTCTTTTCGTAGATGTACAGAACCATTTTTTTCTGTGTTTACAACTGTCTAATGAATGTACCTGCTAATAAATATCTTTTTGTTGCTTACCTGTTGTAATAATTCATGTTTACATATGAACAAAAAATAGGTGTGTTCAGTAAACATATTCATTTATTTTTGTTTTTGTTTTTTAAGTTGAATTTTATTGTATGTAAAGGGAAAAGAAAGAAAGTAAAGCAAACTAAAAAAAGAACAGACAGGGAACAAAAACAATCCCCCCCCATCACAGAACTAACCTTATGCGCTGCAATACAATACACAAAATTTTACAGAGATAGATACTGCCACATATTCTTTTATCTGGCAGTTTTGTTTTTAAAAAGAAAAATGAAAACATTGAACACATCAGTAAGACATTGAGTTATTAAACTAAGGAGCTGGAGTCAGAGTTTTTGTAGAAAAGTGTACAGAGGTGTCCAGAGTCTCCAAAATTTTTCTGATTTGTGGTTCAGGTCATGAGTCAGTTTTTCCACAGGGAGAAGAGCTGATATCTGTGATACCCACATACTGACCGTAGGGACATGGCTGGCCGACCACCGCAGTAATATACATTTCCTAGCAAGGAATAAAAGGATTGTTAAAAGAGACCTTGTGTCTGTATCAAAGAGATCACCAGGTGCATGGTTTAACAGATAGAGAGAAGGTGACATTGTAAAACGTTTACCAGTCACTTCTTGAATAACAGAATGTACATCTTTCCAAAACCTTTTGATGTGATCACATGACCAAAACAAATGGATAAGTGTCCCCTTGTGAGATTTACATTTATAGCAAAGGTTAGAGCCGTTGGGGAACATCCTCTGGAGGCGAACAGGGGTGAAGTAAGTCCCATGAAAAAATTCTGAAATTTTGTTCATGTATTGAGATTGAAGTACATTTTGGAAATACTCCATCACAAATGTTGGTCCAGTCACTGGAGCTAAATGTTACTCCCAGGTCTCGCTCTCACAGTAGCTTCAAACAATCATAAGCAGAGGTGTCAGAGTGCACAAGTATAGCATAATACTCTGAAAGTTTCCCCTTCAGCGATTTAGCAGAGATCAGGGTGTTTTCCAGTTCTGAGAGATTCAGATGGAATTTGTTCCCTCTCAGAAGGGATTCAAGAAAATGACGGATTTGGAGGTATTTATAAAAGTCATTAGAAGGGATGCTAAACTCTGTCCTAATTTGCTCAAATGACGTTAAAGAGTCAGAGGTGAACAGGCTGGTGGGATCTAGGATACCTTTAGACATCCACTTTAACAGACCAATACTCCTAACCTGAGGAGGGAAATCAGGGTTCAGTACATATTAATATTTGTTAAAGAGTACTTTTAGTGTATACAAATGTATTATTTTTCAAATGACGATGACCCCTGGGCACTTATGAAAAACATTTACCATGTAGAGCTTTGCTGTCTTGTATAACGTGGTGAAATGTTAACATTTACAGACCAGTACAGTTAGAAATATAATGCTTTCCAGTCATAAAAAAAGTAATTAAAAAAAACAACAAATCACATATTTTAGTTCAAAGTCTAAAGTTTGATTGCAAAAGTCCACAGACATAAAGATGCTTAAGCTACTGTAATTGCCATCATGTGCTCATAAACAGGGCCAGCTGTTAGATAAGGACCTTGGCATTCCCAGAAGGAGAGATACACTGGTGTGTTCTCTTCCCCATCAACACCCTTCCCTCCGCACACTGGCCCCTCCTCCTTACCAGTGCATTCAAGCTACCTTCACTTGCTGCTGGAAAGCTGGGAATTTTGCACATGGTAATAATTCCATAATTAGTAAAGATTGGTTGCATGGTGCACCGGCCCAAAATGTTTTGTGGCATCCAGGTTTGTTGCTGCGGTGTGTGGGACACTGCACATGTGCTCGTTCGTGTTTCCCCTTCAGGTCTGCTGGGCTCTCTTACTTGGCTCAAAGACTTCACACTGTAATGACGATGAAACTCACTTTTCTAGGCGCTGGGAACGTTCTCAAGAAATGGAATTGTCCCGTCAATAATTTTTCTGAAGCGTTCACATTGGGAATTTGTCTATCGACTTCCTGTTTTGTTGAAACCAAATGTAAATGTAGGGGTGGATCTGACTGATACCTTAAGGCAACAACACAGCGTAATGCTTTGTCACTTTCCTGTCTTCTTCTCTCTACTGTTCTGTCAAATGAAGGAAAAAAATTAAAAAAGATAGCCCCAGTCTAAAGCATACCCCGATTTATTGCAATTTTATTCACAATGGAAACATAATATACAAAGTATACGTTGTGTTGAATTCAAAAAGTCTTGTAAGTAGTGATTGACACCACAAACTCACTATAGGATTTTTTTATTTTTTTGTTTGTTTGTTTGTTTCAATCTGAGCAGTAAGGCAAAGTGTGCATGTTTATTTGGACAGAAATCATTCAAAAGAATAAATGTGTTCTTTTCTGTCTGTTTTCGTCACATGATACACACAGGAGTTAGTACTTTATTGCATAACCATTGTTTTCGATGACTGCAGCCATGCGTCTTGGCATGTTCTCCACCAGCTTTTGACATTGATCTGCTGTCACAGCAGTCCATTCCTGTTCCACAAATTCAAACAAATTTGTGTTGTTTTTGGGCTTGTGGTTCTTCATTTTGCATTTGATGATTTTCCACAGGTTTTCAATTGGTTTTAGATCTGGTGATTGAGCAGGCCAAGGCATGGTTCCAATGTTCTGGTTCTCCATCCAGGCTTTAACTGACCTTGCCGTGTGGTAAGGGGCGTTGTCTTGGAAAATCCTGTCACTGTAGAAAGGAAAGACTTTTCCAGCTGATGGAATAGGACTGTTTTCCAGAGCAGCCTGTACATGACCTGGTTCATTCACCCTTCACACACTTGCATTTGCCCTGTTCCACCTAAACTGAAACAAGCCCAGATGGTCACTGATCCACCCCCATGTTTTACTGTAGGGGCAAGACAGTCTGGTCTGTAGGCTTCTCCAGGCTTCCTCCTCACCAGTAAGTTGGCTGGAGTGGGCATCAACTGAACATTGGATTCAGCACTGATGAGAACCTTAGCCCAATCATCAACAGTCCAATCCTTGTGATCCCCAGCAAAGTGTAACCAGGCTTTCCTCTGTCTTTTGTTGATGGAGGGCTTCTTCTGTGCCTTCTGTGACTTCAGACCAGCTTCAAGAAGTCAGTTTCCAACTGTCCTTGCCGAACAAGTCCCATTTCTGGACAGTGTCCACTCATTTTTTAGGTCCCTGGAGGTCTGACGATGATTCCTGACACAGGAACGGATGAGTGCACGTCATCTCGTGGGTAGAAAGACGTTTCCTGCTGCGACCAGCTAGCAATCTGGTAGTATGAATGTTGGGCTTGTTTTTTCTTGGTGTAATGAACGGTTATTTTTGCAGCCTATCTTCACTCTCATGTGTAACCAAGCAAAAAGCTCCCCAGTATAAGCTTAAAAAAGTGATGTATTAAAATAAGTGACATTTGTAAATGAAATCAAAAAGCCTATAATACCTTTTAATTATGTTATTAGATAGCTTATTGGTGCTAAGCTATGATAAGCTAGCAAAGCCAAGTTGTAGCTTGCCTACTTCGAAAGTATTGCCACACCAATAAAAGCTCAAGCTAGCTGTTTGTGGGCCTTTTACTTCTTCTCTCTACATTTATAACAATGATTATAAATATTTTGTCCAGTAGTCTGGAAACTAAAAAAAAAAGATAAGAAAAAGAAAAAAGTATCCTCTGCACATACTGCCTTTGTGATGGATTCACCAATTCTGTTTGATTATTCTGTAATTTTTTCTTTTGTATATTGTGGTAAGGGGTTTATTGTTCATACAATTGTGCTGGGAGCTAAGGTATGAAAATTATTCTACATTTCAAACAATGCTCCATTTGTTTTCACGCCTTTGTAACCAAGGCGGGGCAGTTTACGAGGCGACAGTGAACGCAGCGACAGTGAACGCAGCAGCAGCCCGTGGACAGACGAAGAAGCGCTGTGGCTCTCACGTAAGTAATAAATAAGTCTTAAACGGAACAGCAGTTTATTTTATTCTCACGTGGAATGCTTGCCAAGCTGTTTTAGAGCTCAAAACTATTTGGCTACGAAAGACAAGTTGTCTTGTTTGCATCCAATACCGTAACAACCGTGAAGAAGTTTCATAAAAGTGCATCTCTTCATTTCCTCCTCTTCTTCAACTTTACCGTTATGACTGTTGTCGATGTTCGCACTTTAATTTGACAGAATGACATGCTGACAGATATAAATTACGTAGTTAGCTGCCTTTATTTCATCAAATACACCCTGGACACCCGAAATAGCAGTTGATTAACGGGTCGTTTCTTCTGAGGTGGTTGCCATGCCATTGACAAGCCGCTGGTTAGCGGAGCGGCTAACGCTGACTGTGGTGAGCTAACTGATGCTATACAGCAGAGGAATGTGGGGAAATGTACAGCGCGCCCTAACTTCACTGTTGAAAGGTAATGAAAAGGAGCTGGTTAACTAAGTAAGCTCCGAGGTGAGTAATGTTAGCTGTGTAACTACAGGAAAATAGTTCCGTCTGTGTGTCACCTGATGACAAAGTCTTATTTAGTATGTTACTGTTCCATTATTTATAATATGGTCCACATATCATAGCAAACACGTATTCCTGTTTGGGATGAACACACTGCAGTGATCCCAAGAGCTTCAGCGAAAGCAACTGAACTCGTTTCAGAGAACTGAACTTCTCCTCTTACAGAGGTTTCAACGTCCAAACCAAAAAAGAGACTTGCAGCTGCTTTCTACTAAAGCTCACAGGGTCACCGGGATGTTGGTGACGGAGAATCTACACAGAGGCATTACTATGACATTTTTAAATCAGATGATAGAATAGATAGATAGTGAATACAAAATGTTCTGTGGCCATGTTATGTTTCCTGGGGTAGTAAACCGAGGTATACTACCACTGGACTCTCCACTGAAATGATGGCATTGCAGCAACACCAGGTTTTTGTGACTCATCACATCAGCTCAGATTTTCATCATGACATCCTGTTGCAGCAAACCAATTTAGGAATATGCTGTAAAGTGACGCAATTTGATACACCACATGTGAAGTGACACAACACATCTGTTAATCAATGAATCATTTAATTAAAAACAAACCAACAAACAAAACCAAACTGATCACGTGTATTGTTTATGATAGACTACAGTGTGAAACATTGAAACGAACTTTCCAAGTTGATTTTTGTGCACAGAGAGCAAAGCTTAATTACTGCACAGATCACCTTACACCTCATTTGACTTACCTGCCTCATCTTGTCAGATTGAAAAAGAAAATGTTGCTTGTCACTCTGTTTCTTGTTATGCAACAAAAACAACTTGAGTCCAGTCTGATCATATGAATGATGTCCTCTAACGTACTTCACAGTCACACAATAACATACGGTAATTCACCTCTAATTGGATCTGTGCTGCTCCTTCCTCCATCCTTTCTCTTTCTTGTTCACCTGTTTTTTTAGATTGTACACTTTTTAACACATAATTGTTATTGCTTGACTGACTATCAAATAGTATATGCCTTATAGGCTATTATGTGACTATGAATTAATGACTAGTAATAAAAAAGAAAAAAAAAAAAAGAGTATAAACTTCCCTCTGTGTTTGAGCTCGGAGTCTGACAGTTAAACATTAGAAATGGTAAAAGTGAGACGCCAGCATTGAAACTCCAAGGCTAACAAAAAATATTTTGCACAGAGCATGTAAGAATGACAAAGCACCTCCAGCCCGCTCACTCCTCTCTGATATGTCTGCCTCTTCCCCACTGTCCATATCATCACCTTCACACTGCCTTAATAGATGTGTTATATTTTCTTACACGTGTGTCAGCGACCAAAGAATTTTCCTTTGTTTAGCACCTTCTCTGCACCATTGGCCTTGGGTTTTTCTTTGTATTGCAGTTTCAGCATTTAATGAGCGCTAAATACTAATTTCGTGTTAACTGTTGGTACTTTTAGTTGTGATGGCAACTGCTGCCTGCTGTTGCAGAAAGCAGGTACAGCCTTGGGAGAAAAAAAAAAAACAACTTCTCTGTGAAGACTGTTGGCACTATAGGAGTTCCTTAAAGCAAGGGATGTATTTATGAGTATCAAACAACAAACAACAAGTCTCTGGCTGGCACAATAGTGGTACACGTTCAGAATTAGCTGATGACATTTTGAGAAAATTGCTTGTTCTTTGGACATGACGTGAGTTAACCTCTTAACACTTGCAGGCCAGAATGAGGACCTTGCAAAAAATCTGCAGTTTTATTCTGAATGACATTGGCCCAGCATTGTAATAAATCCCAAAGCCTCATGATTAAAATGGTGTGAACCATTTTCAGATATGAAAATTACAGCAACAGTAGTTCCTTAAATTGTCGTTAGAGTGTACACACAGCAAAATAGTAGTTCCTACCTTTTTTGTTATCTACAGGGGCACAGACTTGTTAAATCATTGTGTGCTGCACACTGTTTTCCCTGTATAAGTCCAACAGAAAAAATACTTCCAAACTTCTATTCTGTCTTAGTAGAAAGGGTGTGAATGTTAAGGCATTACCATAATAAGGTAATCACTAATTAAAAGTAAAAAATCCAAAAAGGTGACAAAGACTTGTTTACAAATGACAAGCTTTTCTTCACCTCACTGTAGTCTCAACAGCACGAAACATATGTTAGCTTACCATTGTGTCAGGTTTTTGGAACTGATGATACTCATCCGGTTAATGAAGTTCTAACAATATAAAGTCACTTGAAAGTATGTGACATACTCAGTGAAGGATCAGGAGAGGAAAAAGTGATGCTGTGCAGCTTCTTCCTCGCACCGTAACTGAAGTTGACTCCGTGCCTCTCCTGCATGTTGGCTGTTGCAGTCATGTTTGTATAATTCTGCTGCCAGGTTTACTGTAGAAACACAAGCATTTACTGAAATGTACAAGAAAAAATTCCCTTTCAATGAATAGCATAGTTTAGATAGTAATAATAGTTTACTGAAATGTTACGTTCCTGTACATGCTTTATCCACTTCATTTAAATGAGCAAAAAATAAATAAATGCCCTAAGATCCAAAGCATCCATTTAGACTCAAGTAATATAGTTTTTTCAATGGCTATACTAATTAGTGGTAATAAAGGGATTTGATAACTGATCTTTGAATTTGAAGTGGTGACCAAAGGTTGAGAGAAACAGCTGCAACCCTTCAAATTAGCATTAGTTTATTTTATGGGGAAGTTTAAAAAAAAAAAAAAATCGTCTTTTTCTTATTCTTTGTTTGTCCTGTTAGTGACGTATGGCATTTGAAAAAAATCTCGAATAACAAACAAAACAAAATCCCTCCTCATACAAGTAACAAGCAGGTGTTTGAACAAAGCACGGCTAAGTGTGTTACTACAATGTCACAACCTCAAAGATGTTTGCTCATGTGGCAGTTTGGAAAGATGTAGAAGAAAGGCCACACAGGAGTCAAGGTGAAACGGGAATAAAACTGGAGTGTCACTGTGGAAAAGCTGAAAGTGTTTCCTTGGTCATAGATACTGCTGAACGGAAAAGTACTGTGTTGGCATCCAGTGACAGAGCAGAAGTGTTAAACCTCACCTCACACATGCTGTATGTCATGAATGCTGTAAACGATTGCTCAAGTGAGTCATCAGTTTTCTCAGCGAATGTATTCAGGGTCATTTAGGTAAATATTGTACAGGCCATTTTACTGTCAGTCACATAAAAAAAAGAAACACTAAATGTTTTGATAATTGTTGAAGTGGCCCAGCTTCTCAAATATTGAAGCACTCTGATGCCTGTTCTTTTTGTTACATCAGAGTAAAATGAATAATTTTGAAGTGTGTGTTTCATAAATAAAGTGATTTATTACCTGAAAAAATAATCAACAGATTTCACTACAATGAAAATAATCATTAGGAGCATATGATGTGTACATGAAGTGTCATGTGCCCCATGAAACAAATTACATATCCATAGTCTTGAATTTTTTTAAATGTTTGAACTAGACCTGTCTCAATAGATTTAATAAAATTAAACCCAAAATGTTGCTGTGTAGTTAAATTTGTCATGATTGTCAATTTGATTTTTAGCAATGTTCCTCAAAAAAAAAAAAAAGGATTCATTAAAAATGAGTCAAAGTGAAAAGTAGAACACATATAATCAAGTAGATGTGTGACATTGGGAGTGTTAAAGCATATTATTTGTTTGCTGTTTGCTTTCTAATCTCACAGTCTTTCGATTGCCGTATTGCAGTGCGTTTCCCCCTGACACCCAGGCTTATATTAGCAGTGTGAGTCTCAGAGTCCCAGCTGAACACCCACAGCCACCAAGCTCTCTACAACCATAACAACGAATGCTGTCCTGCCTGTCTTTATAGGAGGCAACAGCAGCTGGAGAGACGCAGAAGATATTGGGTTCCATCATGTGGAGGGGAAACAGATCATTACCTTCACCTTCTTTGGAAGCCCACTGTCAGGGCCATGGGCCTTCTCAGCAGGGTTATAGTTTAGACTGTTGCATGATATTGCAGCTATTTAGTATTTAAAGTTTAGCAACACGTCAAAGACATATTTTTATATATTTATATATTTATGTCACAGTCCAAATTAAAATCCAGACAGATTTTGAATCTGCCTAGGCGAGATTGAAATTTTGATTTGGTCTAGACCTAATTAAAATCCTTCTAGTATCATAATGAGATTGTAATCCTGCCTGGGTACATTTTAAATAAGTCTGGGCAGAATTAAAATTTTGATTTTGTCTAGACCAAATTGAAATCATCCTTATAGCAAACTGAGATTGTAAGCCTGCCCAGGCAGGTTTAAAATTTGACCACACCAAATTAGAAATCTGAATAGTTATTAGATTTTATTTTTAATTTTTATTTTTTTTAATTGTTTTTTTTCAGTACACTTTTTAAAGTGTTATTCTATTGTTTTTGTTCACCTTGTAGTTTGGAGTTTTCCTTTTTCTTGCATTGTAGTATGGCCAGTACACCCTGCAGTGCCTCCTTTGTTTCTACCACAGGATGGAAAATAGACCCATGTTTTTACAGTACTGGACAAGTATTTGTTCATTTACACTATCCATGTGCCTCAATCAGCAGGACTGTAGTATAGGTGCCTATAGCTGTAGCAATATGTGTAAAAGACATGTACTGCCAACTAAGTCGTTTCCTCCTCCACACTACTGCATGATAAAATACAGTAAGAATGACCCATATGGAAAGACTTATTTGCTTTGTTTATGCTTTTTTTTGTTTCTACAGTAAAAGCTTTATTGTATCTCTTTTCTAAACACTTTTTTATTGTTGTTTTTTTTTTTAGAAAATGGTCCAGTGAGCTTAGAGGATGCCAGTGATGAATCAAAGTAATCCTTGTCTGTGGACACAGCTCCCCCAGAGCAGCAGGTCTCCATGTGACCGCTACAAGCATGCATGCTGCAGTTATGATGGACATGTCTATATCCTGGGAGGCAGAGAGAACAGTTGTCTGAGGGACTTCTGGAAGTACAGTGTGGGTAAGAGCCCCAGCTTATCAATTTATTCAAGTACGAACATGAAACTGAATATACAGGTGTAGCTCAAAAATATTTCAATATTATGAAAAGTTAGCTTTTTCTTGTAATTTAACTTTTTAAAAA